GTCTGCCCACATCCATGCCCAAGTTCCTACCTGCATCTCTGATAGGCCCAATGTTTTTCTTAACCATCCTCTTGCACTTAATGCACTGATAAAAACATCTTTGAATTTTCCTTAATTTTACTGACCAATATTTTTTCTTTTCATTGCTTTCTAAGTTCTTTCCTCATTTCACCCCTGTACTTTCTATACTCCTCTAAGCTGCCTGGTATTTTATTTTTTGAGGTTGTCATAAGCTTTTACTTTTCCTTTAACTTACACTGTACGCTACAGGATAAACAGGCAACTTTAGATTTGGCAATGCCACCATGTTTCTTTGTGGGGATGTGTCGACACTGCGCCCATAGAATGTTGCTTTTAAAAGCCTCTGACTGACATTCCTTCAACTGACTGCAACCAGGCTATCATTGGCAGACAACAAGGTGCAGGGCTGGATGAACACAGCAGGCCAAGCAGCATCATAGGAGCAGAAAGGCTGACGTTTCGGGCCTAGACCCTTCATCAGAAATGGGGGAGGGGAAGGGGGTTCTGAAATAAATAGGGAGAGAGGGGGAGGCGGATAGAAGATGGATAGAGGAGAGGATAGGTGGAGAGGAAACAGACAGGTCGAAGAGGCGGGGATGGAGCCAGTAAAGGTGAGTGTAGATTGGCAGACCATCTCTCAGCTTTGTAAAGTTTGCCTTCCCTCTATATAGAACATTTCCTCCTGTTCTACCTTTATCCCTTTCCAAAATGATGCTAAATCTAACTGAATTATGATATTACCTCCAAAACAGTGATCCACTGCTCGTTCCTAATCCCTAAGACTAAATTTAGGATTGTACCCTCTCTCATTGATTTTCGAACATAAGAACATCAGAACCAGAAGCAGGAGTAGGCCATCTCGCCCTTCGAGCCTGCTCTACCATTCAATAAGATCATGGCTGATCTTTTCATAGCCTCATTTTCACTTACTCACCTTCTCACCATACCCCTTAATTCCTTTACTATTCAAAAAATTATCTATCTTAGCTTTCAAAACATTTGATGAGGAAGCCTTAACTACTTCACTGGGCAGGGAATTCCACAGATTCACAACCCTTTGAGTGAAGAAGTTTCTCCTTAATTCAGTCCTAAATCTGCTCCTATTAATTTTGAGGCGATGCCCTCTTGTTCCAGTTTCACCTGCCAGTGGAAACATCCTCTCTGCTTCTATCTTATCTATTCCCTTCATAATTTTATATGTTTATATAAGATACCCCTTCATTCTTCTAAATTCCAATGAACATAATCCCAGTCTATTCAGCATCTCCTCATAAGGCAATCCTCTCAACTCTGGAATCAACCTAGTGAATCTCCTCTGCACCCCCTCCAGTGCCAGTACATCCTTTCTCAAGTAAGGAGACCAAAACTGCAGGCAATACTCCAGGTGTGGCCTCACCAATACCCTATACAGCTACAACATAACCTCCCTGCTTTTAAACTCAATCCCTTTAGCAATGAAGGATAATACTCCATTTGCCTTCCTAATTACCTGTTGCACCTGCAAACCAACCTTCTGCAATTCATGCACAAGGACACCCAGGTCACTCTGTACAGCAGCATTCTGCAGTTTTTCACTGTTAAAGTAATAGCTCTTTTTACTGTTTTTCCTACCAAAATGGATGACTTCACATTTATCGTCATTGAATTCCATCTGCCAGACTTTCGACCACTCTCTTAAACTATCTTTGTCCCTTTGCAAACTTTCAGAGACCTCTGCACGTTTCGCTCTACCACTCATCATAGTGTCATCCTCAAACTTTGACACACTACACGTGGTCCCCAACTCCAAATCATCTATGTAAATTATAAACATTTGCGGGCCCAGCACTGATCCCTGAGGCTCACCACTAGTTACTGTTTGTCAATCAGAAAAGCATTAATTTATCCCCACTCTTTGCATCCTGTTAGTTAACCAATTGTTGATCCATGCCAATACATTGCCTGTAATGCCATGCACCTTTACCTTATGCAACAGCCTTTTGCACAGCACCTGGTCAAATGCTTTTTGGAAATCCAGATACACCACATCTACTGGGTCCCCGTTTTCCACTGCACTCGTACTGTCTTCATAGAATTCCAGCAAATTAGTCAAACATGACCTGCCTCTTATGAACCCATGTTGCGTCCACCCAATGGGGCAATCTCTATCTAGATGTCTTACTATTTCTTCCCTGATGATAGATTCAAGCATTTTCTCCACTACAGAAGTTAAGCTAACTGGCCTATAATTCCCCATCTTTTGTCTACCTCCTTTTTTGAACAGTAGCGTCACATTGGTGGTTTTCCAATCTGCTGGAACTGCCCACAGAGGCCGGCAAATTTTGGAAAATTACCACGAGCGCATTTGCTATTACTCCCGCCATCTTTTTTAGTATCCTGGGATGCATTCCATCAAAGCCAGGAGAATTGTCTACCTTTAGCTCCAATAGCTTGCCCAACACTACCTCTTTTGTGATAATGACAGTGTCTGGGTCCTCACCTACTTTAGTCTCTTTGTCATCAATTACTGGCATGTTATTTATGTCTTCCACTGTGAAGACCGACACAAAATACCTGTTCAATGCCTCAGCTATTTCCTCACATCCCGTTATTAAATCCCCCTTCTCATCCTCTAAAGGACCAATGTTTACCTTAGCCACTGTTTTTCTTTCTTACATTTATAGAAACTTTTGCTGTCTGTCTTTAATGTTATATGGCCACCTTTTGAGCCCCTTCTCTATTCTGCCTGTAAACTGTATCCAGGAATGTTGAGCAGCCATCCTTCCCCTTCTTTTAGCCAATTCCTGTTATGGCAATGATATAACACTGCCATGTGTCTATCTATTCCCTCAACTCATCGCCTTTATTCATTATAATCCTTGTATATGCATACATAACTTTTAATACTGCCTATTTTCTATGCTATATATTTATAATCCCTGCTTCCTCTATCTTTCTGAGTTATTTGCGAAGTTTCTGCCTCCATCTTCCTGCTTTGAAATTTATTGTCAGGTTCCCATTCCCCAACAATTTTGTTTCAGCCCTTCCTGGAAGCACTAACAAATCTCCATGCAAGGATATGTAACCTGATCCTGTTCATGTGTAGACTGTTCCGATGGCTACCCTCCTACACCAGCTTCCAACTACATGCCTATTTCAATATTCACTCGCACATGGGACTGGAAGCAATCTTGAAATTACGCCTTCAGAGGTTTTGCCTTTCAGAACCTTCATACCCATTCCTACTTATTCATTGGCACCAAGTGGACCACTACCTCTGGCCAATCCTGCAGTCACTCTGTAACATCCTTTATCCTGGCACAGGAAGGAAACATGCCACTTTGGAGTCACGCCAATGGCTGCAGGAACGCCTGTCTGATCTGTTGTTTATGGGATCCTCTATCACTATTGGACTTCTATTCTTCTTCCTCATCCCAAATAGCTGAGCCACCAATGGTGCTATATGACTTAGCTCTGGCTGCACTCTCCTGAGGAATCATTACCCTCATTACTATGCAAAATAGAATACCAGTAAGCAAGCATTATAGACTCAGGAGACTCCCTCATTGACTGCCTAGTTCTCTTAGATTGCCTGTAGGTCACCCATTCCCTTGCTGCCTGTACAGTTGTTACCTGTGGTGTGACCACATTCCCTAAACTTGCTATCCATGTAGTCCTCTGTTTGTTGAATGAACAATAATGAAGCCTACTGTCACTCAAGTTCTGAACCTGGATCTCAAGATTGTGTAGCCATTGACACTTCCTGCAGATGTGTTTATCTGGGACAGATGATGCATCCATGACTACACACATATCGCAAGATGTACACTCCATTTGGTCAAGTGAACTACCATCCTGTAGTTTAAAAACTTACAATAAGAATTGCTACAATGGGGAAGCAATGGCCTAGTGGTATTATCACTGGACTGTTAATCCAGAGACCTAGATAATATTCTGGGGACCCAGGTTTGAATCCTGCCATGGCAGATGGTGAAATTTGAATTCAATAAATATCTAGAATTAAGAATCTAATGATGACTATGAATCCATTGCCAATTGTCAGCAAAACCCATCTGGTTCACTAATGTCCTTTAGGGAAGGAAACTGCCATCCTTACCTGGTCTGGCCTACATGTGACTCCAGATCCACAGCAATGTGGTTGACTCTTAACTGCCCTCTGGACAATTAGTGATGGGCAACAAATGCTGCCTAGCCAGTGACACCCTCATCCCATGAATGGATTAAACAAAAATCATGGCATGATCATTGATGATTTTCACTTATCCAGCTGTTATATGTATATTAGCTCCCATAACATAAATATGAGATGTAGGTCATGTCATACTGAAAAGTTCAACGAACTTTTATTACTGTTCCTTGTACTAGCCTTTTAGTACTATCACAAGAACTTGCATGTCTGAACTTAAGCTAAGAAATTCAATGTACTGTAGCATGCTTCCCTCAGCATGTCATGCTCCAAAAGCACAGAACTCAGTAAGATGGAAGCTGAGAGATTTATATCATTAAGTCACAGACCTATGAGATGACAAGCTGAGCATGTCCCTTAAAGGTATGTCACACACCTGCAAGACATAAACAAGAACAGTACAGACACTTACCAGTACTCAATTAACTTCTCCTGTACCAAAGTAAGAGCCAATTGCAGTTGACTGAAAACCACAGAAGAAAAATGAACACCTTCCTTTAACCCTCACCAAACTCTCTCATTCTCACCAAAATCCATTTTACAACCAAAACAGCACTCAGTGCAGGCAAGACAACAGCGAAGACAGCCTCAGTTTATACTTATTGAAAACTACTGACTCAAGCTTCAAGTAAAGGGTTAAAACGAACCACTCATTAACTAACTACTCTATCTCTCGGAGCTGGTATACCCCTAAATTAAGGCTGCATTAAAAATTTCTCTTAAAATGTAATATTTAGTTAATTGCTGAATTGAAGGAAAAACAACTTATGATAAAAAAAAGGCTCATACTCACCAGCTCCCAGCTCCTATGGTGAATCTTCCTGCCCAGGTGGATGGCAAGTCTAGGCTTGAGCCAGTTATTGCCCTTTCGGTGTGTAGGGGCTGCGACACAGCAGCTTTCTTGTGGACGGGCTCCAACTCAACTTTTTTGTTGGGCAGTTTGAGTGGGGGATTGTGTTCTCTGTAAAAGCCAGTCCACACATTCAAACACAGAACAATGGAGCAATCAAATACTACACAAGGATCTGGAAGCTGAAGGGAAAATTAGGCCATAAGAAGTAGGAGCAGAAGTATGCCATTTAGTCAATTGAAATCGGTGCACCATTCAGCCAGATCATGGCTGATCTAATAATGCTCAAATCCACTTTCCTGACTTTTCCCCCATCCCTTAATTCCCTGATTAAAAACATAAAAATCTGTGTATCTCAGCTTTGAATATACTTCATAGTGTATGTAATGTTGTGAAACTTGAAAGGGTTCAGAAAATATTTACAAAGATGTTGTCGGGGTTGGAGGGCTTGAGCTATTGGGAGAGGCTGAATAGTCTGGGACTATTTTCCCTGGACTGTCGGAGGCTGAGGGATGACCTTATAGAAGCTTATAAAATCATGAGGAGCACGGATGGGGTGAATAGTCAAGGTCTTTTCCCCAGGGAAGGGAAGTCCAAAACTAGAGGAAATAGGTTTAAAGTGAGAAGGGAAAAATTGAAAAGGGACCTAAGGGGCAACTTTCTCACGCTGAGGGTGGTGCGTGTATGGAATGAGCTGCCAGAGGAGGTAGTGGAGACTGATACAATTACAACATTTAAAAGGCATCTGGATGGGTATATAAATAAGAGGGGTTTAGAGAGATATGGGCCAAATGCTGGCAAATGGGTCTAGATTAATGTGGGATATCTAGTCAGCATGGATGAGTTGGACCAAAGGGTCTGTTTCTGTGCTGTACATCTCTGTCACTCTACAATATATATTAGTATAAGTTTAGTGACCCAGCCTTAATTGGGCCTTAATAAATTAGCTAGTTAAATTAGCTAGGTGTAGCTTGTATGCAGGTAGCTCTGTGCCCAGCACCCCAGTCCCACCTTTAGATCCAGTGACACAGATATTGAACAGGGGAACTAGCCTGCTGGCTTCCCAGGGGAAATTGCATGCTGTCCGCCTTTGCTCCTGGTCAAAACAGGTGTTAAAATCGAAACCCAAAGTATTTCAAAACCACAATGGGCTCTCGCATATCTTCTAGTAAAGAAAATCTGCTGCCCAGTCTGGGCTATTGTTACTCCACATTCTTATTCAAACCAGTGTTGTCTAAACAAATGGAGATAGCAAGAACTGCAGATGCTGAAGTCAGAGACATCAGTGTTGAGCTGGAGGAACACAGCAAGCCAGGCACCATCAGAAGAGCAGGAAAGTTGATGTGAAATGGGGAGGGGCGGCTCCCTTCCCTTTCCTCCATTTCTGAAGAAGGGTCCTGACCCAAAACGTCAACTTTCCTGCTCCTCTGATGCTGCCTGGCCTGCTGTGTTCCTGCAGCTCTACAATGTGTTGTCTAAACAAACTGCTCTGTCTGCAGTGTTTCAAAAGACTCACCATCGCCACCTCAGGCCACATGGGATAAGCAACAAATAAACTCAAGCTTATCCCAGGAATCTGCTGTTAACTTGTGTACTGCCAGGAAGGAATGCTGTACTGTTAACAGTGAGCTGCGCCTTTTGGGACAGACATTCTGAGATAGGACAATGCACAACAATAGAGGAAGCGATCTTTTGCTTCTTTGTAAAGTAGCGCACTGACAGAAAATGGTTTATAATTAACTTCAAAAGTGTGTGCTTCCTCTTATTCACTCTGGCAAGCTGTTCGAGTTTGTGAGGCAAAGACAGAGCGTGCCCCGTTCACCTGGCGTACTGACAGAACTGGAAATTTCATTTAGGTTCAAGGAATCATAAATAAATTGATGCATGGACGTTAAAAAAACTCCTGAAAAGGAATAAATTTTGATCTCAGGTCACTAAAGGAATATGTACAAGTTGTGTCTGATGTGCAGAAGAGATTATGACGGTTCATCAATCAAGACTGTAGAAATTGCAGAGGGATAAACATCTGAATCTAGGAGCAACAGTAGGGCAGTTAGCCCCAGGAGCCAGCTCTGCTATCCTAGATCATGGCCTCAATACCATTTTCCTACACTATCCCTTAATCTCATTACCTCGTCATCTATCCACCCCTGTCTCGAGCCTCTGACCTTCCATAGCCCACTGGGTAGAGAATTCCAAAAGTTGACAAGCCTCTATGTGAGGAGATTCCTCCTTCTCTCAGTCCAAAATTGCTTGATCCTCATTCTGAGATAGGCCGCTCTGCCTCTAGACACCCCAGGCTAGGGGAAACATGGCTGCTGCTTTGAACCCTTTAAGAGTTTTACAGGTTTCAATGAAATCACCTCTCATTCTTCTAACTTCCAGAGAACGTGGGCCCAGTCTACACATAATACAGCAGCCATCCCAGGACATAATCAGCTGAACATTCGTTGTACACCCACTATGGAAAGGATATTCTTCCTTCAGGAATGGAACCAAAACATGTATGCAACAATCCAGGAGTGGTCTCACCAAGGCTCGATACAATTGTAGTAAGACATCCTTTCTTTTTACTCCAATATCCAGCCAGTTCACCTTTTACGAACCTGATAGTCACAATATATTGATAAAGGTGTTGTCAATTTCCTTACAATCAACCAACCAAGTCCAGAAAGATAAGCACAAATACCTGAGTTAATACTTCAAGTGCAGTAGAAAGGAAATGTTAAGGCCTGAAGGTTGCTTAGCTGAGTTTGCTGGTTGACTAGTTTGTAATGTGGAGTGATGCCAACAGTGAGGTTTCAATTCCTGTACCAGTTAAGGTCACGATGAAAGTTCTGTCATCTCAACCTCACCCATCACCTGATTCTCAGATTAAACTCACCAGCAGTCACCCCTCACCAATGAGGAAGCAGTCTCGAGGACTATGGTGCCTTTTGCTGAAGAAGCATCACTTGGTTGAGACATTAGGCTGAGACCCTATCTCAGCTGAATGTAAACGGTTTATAACATTCATTTAAAGAAAAATAGGAGTTCAATGTCCACTATTTATTATTTGAATAACACAGGGAAAGCAGATTTTAATCATCTTGCTGTTTGTGGGATCTTTGTGTACTCAATTTGGCTGCCATGTTCTCTAGATTTGAATAGTAAGAACACTTCAGAAAGTATGCTTCCTAGAACTTTCAGACATCCTGACGTCTTGAAAAGGTGCTGTACAAACACATGGTTTTTCTTTGTTTGAACTAGATATAATTGTTTAGCATGGACTTACGGTCAGAATGTTAACTCTAGCCAAATTAATCCTCAATAGTCCTTATTTCCTGAGCAGCTATGCACCTATTAATCTGGTGACATTTATGTCCAGTCTGCTAGATGGAAGGCTGGTATTTATAACCACTGCTACATGCAGAGCATACAAATCTACAAACAAGTACCGACAGTAGGCCAATTGACCTTTCAAACCTACTCTGCCGCTTAAAAATATCATGTCTCATCTGACTGTAACCTCAAGTCCATATTTCAATGTACTCCCAACAGCCTTTCACCCTCTCACTTACCAAGAATCTATCCACCTCTGCCTTCAAAATATTTAACGACACTTTCACCACTTTTTGCAGAAGAAGTTCCAAAGACTCACAACATTCTACGAGAAAAAAACTTTCTCTATTTTAATTGGGCAACCCTTATTCTTAAGCATTGACCACTGATTATAAATTCTTCCATAAGAGGAAATGTCTTCTCCACATCTACCTGTCTTAAATGTTTCAATTAAGCCATCCCTTATTATAGAATCACTACAGTGTGGGAGCAGGCTATTCAGCCCATACCAACCCTCCGAAAAGCATCCCATCCAGACCCACCCTTTGTCCATCCCATAGCACCTAATCCACACATCCCTAGACACATTTTAGCACGGCCAATCCACCAATCCTACACATATTTGAACTGTGGGAGGAAACCAGAGCAAACCCACACAGACAAAGGGAGAATGTGTAAATTCCACACAAACAGTTACCCAAAGGTGGAATTTAACCCAGGTCCCTGGCCCTGGGAGCCACCGTGTCACCCTGTTCTTCTAAACTTCAGCAGATACCAGCCTAATCTGTCCAACCTTTCCTCACAATATAGCCCATGCATTCCTGGTGTTAGTCTGTTATACTTTTCTGAATTACTTCCAAAGCATTTACATTCTTTCTTCAGTAAGGATATCAATACAGTACACAATATACAAGATGTGGTCTATATGGAACTGAAGTATAAGCTCTCAACTTTTGAATTCAATTTCCCTTGCAATAAACAATGACATTCTTTTAGCTTTTCTAATTACTGGTGTTATACCTGCATTTTGCCTTTTGTAATCCTCACACTAGGAAACTCAGATTGTCTACATCTGAGAGCTCTGCAAACTCTCACTATATCAATAATGTGCTTTTTTTTGGGCTCCTTACGAAAGTATATGCTCTAATATTAGAATGCTGGAGAATACAGGAAGTGTTCCAGTCAGGAGGATACGACTCTCATATTATCATCATTAAAAATAATTACTACAGATTTACCTTTTCATTTTCAATTGCTATAATACTAATCTGACTGAAATCCCAAAATTATAACCAAACTTTATTATAATGAACACTTCCACAAATAACCCCAAGAGATTAGTGACTATGTAAAAGAACTAAAAGATCATCACAATGCCAAGTTATAACCCCTGCATTTACCATGGCTAACCCACCTAACATCACCACGGTAGCCTGCACATTCCTGGACACTGCATAGCAATGTAGTATAGCAGATCCACCTAACCTGCACATCTTTGGACTGTGGGAGGAAACCAGAGCACGAGGAGGATACCCACAAAGACACAGGGAGAATGTACAAACTCCACACAGTCAGCTCAGACTGGAATCAAACCTGGGTCCCTGGTGCTGTGAGGCAGCAGTGCTAACCACTGAGCCACTGTGCTGCCCACAAATCCTTCACTGTGTATGTGGAAAACTTGCTCAAATATACCAATTTGCCCAACCATTTGATCAAGTCACATTGTGCAGAAGTGGTCATAGATAAGACATGAATGGACATATATCAGTTTTGTATATCTTGGACAGCTT